CTAGAATTAGTTGCTGATGTTGCAAGAGTCTCATGACCATTAGCTTGACTTTTACCGCCTACACAAGGATTTATAATATATAATTAGAAATTATAATATGAAAAAAAAAAATGGCAGTAGAGAAAACTCAGTCTGCTCACCCACATGTTTTGGAAGCTCTAAACAAATGTACTGCTTACAGGTTTTTGCCAATTAGTGAGCATATCGGACAATAGTCAACTCCCAAGTCAACTATCAATTTGCCTAAAGCTCAATATATTATCAATGCAAATGACAGTGATCATTGTCGATTTGGAATTTCAAATTTTGCTTCGTCTATTGGCAGTATGAGCAAAATATTTGAAAAGATTTGTAAGAGACTAACTTTTTTTTACCAAAATTTCATTGAACTCAAACGAGTACATCCGGGCAATCAAACTCATGTTCCCGGTTGAACCGCTTGACACAAAATTCGGTTTAAAACTATTGGGACCGTTCAAAGATCAGTAAAACCGGAGAATTAGACCCGGTTACAGTGGCCCACCCACTTCAGTACTTTGCACTCTTGGTCTATTCTGACTTCATGAAAAACACTCAATCTCTTTGATTTTTTTTTTCAATGTGGGACGCAGTGGTTTTCCCACTTTTTCAGTTTTTGCTATTCTTCTCATTTCTCGTGTAAACTTGCTTGGGCCTACGCCAAAAGCCCAATAAAATTTTTCAGCCCAAAAAGATGGACATAACCCAGAATACGGAAATCATCCAACTGAAGGCCCAAGTGATCACCATTAGGTTTGCCGATCACCCGAACGCCATGTCGATCGCCCACAGAAGCTTCCCCAAGAAAACATGCGATTACTTCTACCGTTTGGACATCTTGATACAACTGGTAGCGTCTCCCGAGATGAAAGCACACGGCGCCACCCTATGCCTCTAGCTGGTATCCCCCATATAATGCATCGACACTTTTTTCGTGTATAATTATAGGTCTAAAGTCCGGAAGAAGGCATGTTCAAGACAACCTAAGTCATTCTAAGTATTCCCCCATCCTGGCCTATCTAAGTCAAATCCTCAAACATCATCACGGTCACTATTACATAGCTGACCTCCCAAAAATCACTCACAAAAATATTCAACTGCATTCATTACACAAAAATATTCAACTGTATTTTATCAGTGTCACTATTACTTAGCTGACCTCCCAAATATCACTCACAAAAATATTCAGCAGTATTCATGACACAAAACATCGAATAAAATTTCGAAGAAACCATCTCCTTGTCGGTCACCACAGCCGATCAACAATTTTGTCTTGTTCTTTCCTTTTTCTTTTCGCACATTAATTCTATTGCGATCCCCTTATATTCCATATTTTATTGAAATACACCATAATTACATTGTAACCCCAGATTACACCGCCTCAAGATACACTTATTATAACAGGTTGTCCCAACGTTAACAAGAGGATTAATCTATAAATTCTTTTGTCTTCATTCTTGTTGATTAGCTTATTTTTACTATCGAAACTCATTTCAATTAATATTTTTTTAGAAAAAAAAAACCCACCTTAACTTTACTGATATTAGTTGTAATACATCATTCATAAACATTTCATAAAGTGTATATGTGAAAGTCTCAAAATGTCCAATCAACCAAGAAAGTTTCACAAAATTATCCATTTTTAAAAGTAGCCAGGGTTGTCTAAACCAGAACAGACTGCTAGCCAAACCTATCTATTGATTGGCCTGGTTCGTCGCCAGCGAATCGGTCAAAACTGCCTGGTCGGACTGGTTTGAACTGCAACATTTTTTTTTAAAGTAAATTTTAATATATCTAAAAATACTTTTAATATAAATAAAAAATACATATTTAAATACAATGAATTATATAAGTTAGTTTTAGTTATTTTTTAAATTGGTTAAATATTAATTTATATATATATATATATATATATATAGCATTTCATTTATTATAAAATATTAATTATTTCTTAAAATATTAATAAATAATCCAACTGATCAACCACTAATTAGACGAGTGAACTATTGAATCGGTAGATTAATTGATGACTATTTGATTTAAAAATCTTGTTTAAATATCTTCAATAAGTCTTGCTCTCACTCTGCATCAGAATTCGCACTAACAAGTCTCTTCCGATAAATTCCGACACCAATAGCTGGTAATATCTGGAAATTTTAGTTCTTTGTTCATGAGAATTTTCAAAATCCTCCCCTCTTTCTAGCTATTGAATCTCGTCTCTTTTGCCTGTAATTCATGGTGATGTGTATAATCTATGTTTGTATGTGAGTATTTTTGCATATATATATAGCGAGGATTCTGATCTGGGTTTGTGCTCTATTTTTCCTGATGTTGTTTGTGTACTTGTTTCTGGTGATTTTACGAGATGGGTATGAAATCCTTATGATTTTTTACTGTAATTTTCTATGATAATGTTGGAATATCACTTGTGAGTCGTCCCACGTTGATTTGATAGGGTAAATGAACCTAGTTTATAAGCGGGTCACTCCTCCCATCACCAATTGGTTTTGGGATATAACCTCACTAACGTGCAACTAAGCTCACACTCTTATGGTGCGCTTCACTGTGTGGGACCGCACACATGATGCCCCGATTATCAAAATTTAATAGATAGTATTAAAAGATAGATGTGAATTGTTATACTTTTAGTGAAACAAGTGAAGGTTATGGTGAGAAAATAGTTTAGTCGAAACATATATGGCTCTTGATTTTCTCCTGTCAATGTATCAACACTTAATCTGCTTAAGTTCTTTCAGTTATTTAATGCATAAACCATGCTGAGTTGAGGCACTAAGAATTAACCGTAATCTACTTTCGAATTCGGTGAAATGGTTGGGAAACAAATTTGCTAATATCGATATGTTAGTTGTTGTCAATTCTGTTAGAATATACACTTGTGAGTTGTGTCACATCGTCTATACAAGAAAATAGGTTAACTTATAAGCCTTGTTGGCTACTCCTCCTACCAATAACTGGTTTTAGGATGAAACCCCACTAAGGCCCATCTAGGCTCACGCTGCTTTTGGTGCGCTTCACCATCGTGGAATCGCACCCGTCAACCCCCGTATCTTCAAATTCCCCTAGATGCTTATTTATTAAAGAATTGATTGAATTGTCTTCATCTACTCTATCTATATACATATTACCTACCCTTGATGTTCAGAAACATGTTTTCATGCCTCCTATTTTCTAAACAACCTTATCAAATGAGTTTGTAATCGGGTTAGATGGAAATGGTTATGTTTTTATATATCTTTAATTTTTAATTATTTTTCGGTACGATTCGGTTATTATATTTTTTGGTCCCTACTAATTGTGTGTGCAAATGTTTTATCTATCCCAAATCTTTACTTATTTCTCAATATTTGATTGCGGTTTTAATCCAAGTTTAAGTTAAAAATCATGTGTAAGTCTGGTTTATGGTATCCCTTGTTGAGTGCTGAAGCAACACTCAAATCATATAGCCACAATATCCTTGTTATAATTGGCTTATTCAGTTCATTTGGTTCATCTATGATTGTAAACTCGAGCCAATTATTTAATCATACAGGTGTTCAGTATGCCATCCAAATCCAAAGAAGTCCAATGGAGACACTTCCAAGGCTGTGGAAAATCGACTGGGCGAGCTCGGAGCCCGCCTAACAAGGCCCGGTCTGGAAAGGCGGTGGCAGTGTCCGTGGGAAAATATCCAATTCGACCATACTCACCGTGCAATGATTTCAAGCTCAGTCTATACTGATTTTGAGTAGAAGTGGAGTTTGTGGATAACATAGTTGATAAGTTTTCGGAGTCTGGGTTTTGGTTTTTCATAAAGCTGGTCGGCAACTCATTCTTGGCTGGTTTTACGACGTGTGTTCTCTGAGCCATTCTCAGCAGCGGCGGCGGCGGCGGCGGCGCCAGCTTCGCCGTCCTTGCCTACAAGCTACAGCTCGTCCCTGTCCCGACGAAGGTCACCGTTGATGAAGATGGAGGTTTCGAGGCCCGAGCACGCCGAGAGTTGAGGGCGGATGCAACCGGGTGAGAGGCCGCACGAAGGCGTGAAAGAATGCGCGCATGACCGAAAAGACGAGCACGAACTCGAGTACGAGGCGCGAGAGGGAGGGTACGCGCGAGGAGAGCTCGTGCGAGGCCTGGGCGCAAGGCGCTAAAAATCCCGAAGACGTCGCACGAGCAAGCGCACGAGGGGCGTAAGTGGACGTGATGCGCAAAAGCACGAGGCGAGTAGTTCGAGTCGAGGAGTGAAGTTTCTAGAAGATACTTGTTAATTAGATTATTTATATTTATTAGACTTTGTTTAAATAATAATAAAAAAAAAAGTATGTGCTATAACATACCATCAACTACTAAAACAGCTCCCAGTATTAATTAATTTCCATCATTAATTAAGGAATGACGAATTAATGATTCTATGCTTCTTAATTATGAATTGATCACGCTTATTATCTATTTTCTTCATTCAATTTGACAAATGGTTCAGGATAAATTCGAAACAAAACGAACACATGCTTGTATCGATCATATCTTTTCATCAATTATTCATAACTTTTTTAATGAATAAATTTCTAAGAGATGATATAATTATTGTAACAATTATATTTTAAACTAATTAACTAGCTAAATTAAGATATTAAAAAGATCCCAACAAATAAATAAATAAATAAATAAAAATAAAATTAAAATTTTCCCTGTCCATTAAAGATTTGGTTTTGCGTCCCTGTTCAAAATACATAGTCATTTATATTCTATCATTAATATTATTAGTTAAACAACTAGATAAATACACATTGATTATCAAGATATTATAAAATAAAATATATATTTCAGATAGTAACCTAATTCAACTCAAATTCTAATTCGAACCTAGTGCTCCGTTGTAATAAATAATAAATATTATAAATATACATATTTATATATATAATATTTATATTCACCTAAATCACTATATATAGTACTCATATACGTTTAATCTTTATTAAAAAATTATGGAGAAAAATAACAACAATATTATTAGTAAGGAGCAAAACCAGGCAAAGGATGATGGAGCTTCAAATTCGAGACAAAGGACGCATGAATTGGCTTCAACATCATCATCAGCATCGACCACACAAAGGTCACGTTTTCCACCAGGCTACCGTTTCATGCCGACCGACCACGAGCTCATCGTCGACTACTTAATGAAGAAAGTCGACAATGAACGAATCCCAGTTGACGAGATGTGTGAAGTTGAACTTTACCTCTTGTCTCCTGAGTCCCTCGCTGGTAATCAGATTTTGATATTAAAATTTTATTTTCCAATTCATATTATTATTCGGTTTTTGTTCAAGTTTTTATTCTAGTTGATTGAGGACAAGTTTACATTACTAGTAGAAGATATTGTTTGAGCTTTATGTTAGATTTGGGTTTTTGTTGTAGAGAAATATCCGCAACTTGGGGACAAAGAATGGTACTTCTTCACTCCACGTGACCGTAAGTATCCAAACGGTAGCAGGCCGAGTCGCTCAGTCAAGGAAGGAGGCTACTGGAAGGCTACGGGTGCCGACAAAGAAATTTTCTCAGGCGGTGGCGAAATAATCGGCAGGAAAAAGGCTCTTGTTTTCTACGAGGGAAATCCTAGGCCGGGAGAAGGAAAAAAAACCAATTGGATCATGCATGAGTACAAACTCAACACTCCTTCCAAGAGCCCCAATTGTACTGGTATGAGGGTAAGTGCATGCCTATTCTGTTTTGTGCACTCAATATCAGTTTTTCGTTAATTACAAAATATAGTCAGTATCGTTTACGCGGTGACAGTAATTAACTATCATCTTTATGAATTGACAGTAGTATCCAATAATATTAAAAATTTTGGATTTAATTACCCAACTACAACCAAATTCAAAGGCTATTAATTATTACCACATTGTAGAAAGATACTGATTTTATCTTATAATTTATCTATCGAATTTGGCCGGATTTGAGTAATATCCTTACAACTTAAAGGTTGTTGGATTCTGTTACCAACTTGTAAAGCTCTATTTTGAAGTTTAGCCTATATGTAGGGTAATTTCTCTTTATGTTTAATAATATGCCTAAACATTTTAAGGGTGTTTGGTCATTCTATGCTTTACTTATTTAATTATTGTAGATTGGTTTTGGAGTGAATTCTTGTGTTTTGACAGCCTCTTATTTTCTGTTAAATTTTTTGGTAATTTAAATTTAGTAAAACTAATTTGAATGAGTGGTGCAGTTAGATGATTGGGTCCTATGCCGGGTCTACAAAAAGCTGGAAAGGTCGAATAAAAAGCAAAGGGATGTTGATGAAAGTGTTCCTGACGATGAGGACTATAGTCTGGAGTCCCCATTATTAGGCGATACCAGTGAATTGGAAGACGACAACAAAGGCATTGTGATCATGGAAGATGACAACAAAGGCATTGTGGTGATGGGCAAAATGGCCGAACAGAGTCCGATGATCACGAGCAACAAAGGAATCTTGATGATGGATCAAATGGGTGAGCAGAGTGGGATGATGAGGAGCAACGATAATGGCGTTAGAGATGTGAATGTTTACCACCAACACCCGTTGTTACTGGATAACAGTTACCAGTTGTCGACTAACAGTTACAGCATGAACTTCCCATACGTAGCCAACCACATGGCGCATGCGGGCCCGAATTTTGGTGAACATTATTATAATCATGGGATGTTTCATGATCATAATCCCTACTTTGAGAGCAGACAACCACCTATATTGGGCTCATCTTATCACCATAATCCAATGGGATTCGTGTGGCCGCATGAGAGTAGTACCTATCTTCCACTCCAACATAATACCTTGGATATTAGCGACATGGAATTTGTCGATCAATGTTTAAGGACCGATGAGGGTGAGGCTCCTAATGATGAAGACAACCAAAATCTCGATTGCGCGCCACCCCAATAAATGGCGATATGTACGTACGTACTCATCATCTTGTCTTCTTCTTCTTCTTGTTGTTCGGAGGGGCAAAACAGTTATAGTTAAAGGGAGATGCATTTGAATTATAATGGTAGCAATAAGTTCCATGTTTGAAATTGTGTACCTATAGTTTCTCCATTTCAGTATATATAAGCCCTTTCATGTTATGAAACTTTTATATAGATATTTGTGGGATGATCATTTGAGTTTTTCTTACCTTTTTGGCATTAAGATCCTATTATTATTATTATTATTATTATTATTATTATTATTATTATTATTATTTTTGAATGTATTCTATTGGGAACGAGGATATATAATATTGTTTGAAAGTGAGGATACGAGCTAGTCTATTACTCGGGAATCGGAAATTATGATATATATCTATGTATAGTATGTGCTATAGGCTAGAATGATTTCCAGCAATCATCATACTAATTATTATTTTTATTTTTTTAATCTGTAGTTGACAAAATGTGAATGAACTTTTCTATTCAAACTTAGCTACAAATCAGAATGCTTATTATCAAGAAAAAAATACAAGCATTTGGGAAAGATCATGCACGACTCTTATTACAGGCCATGGTTGTGCCAATCAAATGCATGAAATTGAGAGAAATTTTAAGGCATTTTGTTCTCAAAATGTGGATAATAAAAGGAAAGAAAACTACTCACTAACTAAGTTATCACCTTTGATTTTTTTTTCAACTCACCATTTATATAACAATTAGTACATCGACCTGTGCAATGCAAGGTGATGAAACAATATTACGATTGTATTATAAATTAAATATAAAAATAACATTAGTTATGATTAATACCATTCGATTGGAGTAACTCATGCTGCTAATGGTTATAAACTAAATATATAGATAAAACGGATTCAAAATCGGGCCGGTCCAAAAAGTCCGATCGGGTGAACTGGTAACTATTTGTAGTGTTTTTGTCGAGTACGATCGTAAATACCAACCTTGGGCCACCTCTGTAAGGAAGTGTACTAGTATGGTGAAGTCTACGTGTTTGTGGCTAGAGAAATAGCTAATAGGGTCGGATAGTGTTGACTAGACTAGGAGGGAGTCCGAAGTCTCATAAGTCCAACTTGTTACTTAAGTGCGCTCAAATCAAACTATCATGTTAGGTTTGTGCATGCATGAGACATTGAGAGACCATTCACAAAATTAAAATTGAGAGTAGCAGTAGTTGAATTTTAAATTCTTTCCTTGATAAATGAGAGCTAGTATACATATTACAGAAGGTAGCTGCTAGTGATGAATGAATTAATTGTCATCATCAAAATCGAAATGGAATCTAAACCCATATTCAGCATCTTCAACACTAACTGCGTTAGCCGACGAAAACAGATGTTTGGCGTAGTCGTCGACAAATGAATGCAGCAAGAAGGAGTCGGCAGTGGGCCTTTGATCGGGATCACTCGTGAAGCAACGCTAGAGAAAATCCCTCGCATCCTCTGAAATCATCTTGCGGCCAATAATCCTCGAAAGTACTTCCTCCTTGGTCCCTCCCCACGCATTCTCCGGGCCCACCAACATCTCGAGCACGACACAACCGAGGGCCCACACATCAGAAGGCTCCTCCTGCCTCCCGAACAACTCGGCCTAGGGCGACAAATACGCGCGCGTACCTCTCGCATACGGTACCGTCCTCTTTCGAAAGCCAAAAATCACTTATTTTGGCAGTGAAGTCATCGTTTTCGGCCACGAGCAACACGTTTTCAAGCTTCAAGTCAGAGTTCACGTATCCGAGGCCGTGAATGTGACGGAGACCTCTAAGGATAGACCTGGTGTGCCTGCCACCTCCATTTCGGGCAATCGGCCTCCCGATTTCTTGATCCTGTCGAGGAGAGACCCGCCGGATGCATACTCCAATAGCAGATTAGAAACCGAGCGGCCCTCGTAATCTTGTGTCGTCGTGTGGTAGCCAAGGCATCGGACCACGTGAGGGCAGTCGTAGAGACGAACCAAAATCTCAAACTCTTTGGCGAGTGTTTGTGAAAGAGATGTTTTCACGGCCATGAGGGACGATGATGAGTTAATGAGACTAGCTAGTGGCCTTGTAAACACGGCCGTAGCTCCCTGATCCTAACAGAGGGCCCCTAATCCAATCAAAATATAAAGTTATTTCTTGTTGTTTACGTAATCAAAATAAAAATCAGATAAAGTTATTCTTTTTTTTTGGTTACTATATAATACTCACAAACTACTTATACTACCTCCTATTTTTAATATATGTCGTTTTGAGAAGTTGCACACTAATTAAGAATATTTTTTTGTCAATAATAACCTTATTTAATGAAGATAGAGATGAATGTTCTGAGAAAAAGTGAAGAGTGAATATGAAAAGACGTAATGTATTTATTGACTAAATGAGGGTAATAATGGAAAAAAATATGTACAATATATCCAAAACGACATTTATTTGGCAAATAGTTAAAAAGGCTAGAATGACATTTAAAAGAAATAGGAGGGAGTATTATTTAATAATTTATTCTCATAATAGATTTTGTTATTATTTCACACATACTAGTATGTAACCCGTGCGATGCACGGGCTAGTACATGTTTTGAAAAATTTTAAAAAATTAAAAGATAATTAATTAATAAGTTATTATAATACGTATGACATTCATAAAGTAAACATAAAATCGTCATTGTTAAAAAGTTATACATTATTAAAAACCTCCTTATATACAACGTTATTAGTTTGATTACTGGGTAACTCATCGTCCCCACAAACTAATATTTTCAACCCCTTCTTATTAGTAACACGTGAAACAGCGACGTATAACTGACCATGACTAAAACAGGTTTTTTCAAGAATAGTCCAACATGTGATAAAGACTGACCCTGACTCTTGTTTATGGTCATGGCATAGGAAACCATAAAGGGGAAATTGCTTCCGTTGGAACTTAAACGGAACCCTAACATCAGGAGGAGTTATGTTCATCCGAGGAATCAACACCTTCTCACCTGCCTGATCTCCAGTCAATATCCTACATTCAAGAACATGCGGAGAGAGCTTCGTAACAACCAAACGTGTGTCATTACACAAACCCATAGAATGGTCCATGTTTCGCAACAACATGACCGGAGTTCCTATCTTCAAATGCAACTCATGGTTCGGCATTCCCAAACACTTAATGTTATTCAAGAACTCGGGTGTGTGGAGATCAGCCAAAAAGCCATTGCCGGAATCCGACTTAGACGTACTGTCATAGCTCAAATATGTACGACCTTCAGCAGAATTCATATCCGACATGTATTGATTGATAGACTCAATGACCTCCAAAGTAGGCGCTAATATAGCTCTGTCCTTCAAATAACTTGGATCGTCAGTTGCATTTTTGAACATTGGATAGGTACTTTCGATGATTGTAGCAATTGGATCATCTGAGGTTTCCAATCGTATATCCTCTGGATTGTCAATCGCGGCACAACCGTCATTTGATCCTCCTACAGTCCCATCTCCAATGCTCGCAATCCACTCAGCAAATGTTGTTAGCTCATCACGTTCGTCTACATCTGAAATGCTCTGAAGACGCATGTTCTTTGTAAGTCGCAACACAATACAATTCCTCCAAATGTCGGAAGAATTAATAGTTGCATTCACAATGTCCTGACGAATCCCCTTTGGAATCACTGGAAGTGTTTGTCGAAAGTCTTCACCAAATACAACATGTTTGTCTCCGAATGGCTTGTTACTGTTGGAAGGGTCAACTGCTCTCATAATAGCCTGCAATGATGTTTGGACAGCTTCAAAGCAATGTTTGTGCATCATCGGCGCCTTGTCCCATATAATGAGAGAGCGTCGTATTATAAGTTCCGCAAGAGGACTTGCCTGGTCGATATCGCAGGATGAAATCGAGAGTGCAGTTCTTCCACCATGCAACAAAAGAGACGCTATTCCACTTGATGCGACACATAAAACAATTTTACCCTTCGGTCTTAACCCCACAGACAACGTTCTCCACAAGTAGGTCTTCCCTGTCCCGCCATATCCGTATACAAAAAATACACCACCATTAGCAGAATCAACAGCGTCCATGATCTTCGAATAAACATTCTTCTGCTCGTCGGTCATTCTACTAAGAAGTGCTTCGTGCTCTACAGATAAAGCCTTCCGATCGCAATTTAGCTCATCCAATATTAAGCGATTCGAAGTAGAGTTACTATTATCTCTGACTGGATAAGACATGGATGAATAATCACGAAGACTTGTGTCGCGCCTTCTCATACAATTTGTTGTATTTTCTGTTAAAATACAACAACTAACAATTGGTTTATAATTTATATTAGAATCTACATCAATGCAATTGTTAATAATTGTTAGAATGTGTATCCGATATTGTTAAGTATATATATTTGTTTATCTAATGGTTTGTAGTTATTTTAATGATGAATTATTAGTGAAGATTATAATATCCCGATTATACAACGACATGTATTAAAATAATGAAATCATCATTAAAATGATTAAATCATCGTTTCAATCTGAGGAATATTCAAAGACAATGGATTAAAATTAAAGATAAAAAATTCATACGAAAGCAGTGCAACAATTCATATCAAATCCAAAAAATATGAAAACTAATTAATTTTTATAATTGTTCCAAGCTTAATTATATATACGTAGGGAAACTTCTATCGTATTAGAAAACAATAGTCCTGCTATGGAGCACAAGCATCCACCGGTGGTTGGTTGCTTTGTACATCCCATTATTAATTTCAACGTCCTAGTCCCTCAGTGCATATATATCGTCTTGCTTAAATACACCTCAAAATGCACGCATATGCGCAGAACGTATACAATATGAAGTTATACAAAATAAGTTAAATAATAAAATTACGGATGTTAGTAATATATAGATATAACATATCAAAATATTACCTCACGATCTAGAAAGATGATCTCAAAAAAATTATTGGACTCCACGTCAAATTTCATCTCAATAATTAGAATGACTCTCAA